ATAGTACCCTTATGGAACCCTTGAAGCAACCCTTCTAGATCCCTTAAAGGAGCCCTAAATCCCTGAAACCCTAAACCGTAAAACCCTAAACCCTAAACCCTAAACCCTAAATCCCTAAACCCCTAAATCCCTGAACCCTATAGTACTCTTATCGAGCCCTTAAAGGAACCCTCAAAGGAGCCCTAAACCCTGAAACCCTAAACCCTAAACCCTAAACCCCAAACCCCTAAACCCCTAAACCCCCAAACCCCCCAAACCCCCCCAAACCCCCAAAACCCCCAAACCCTAAACCCTAAACCCTAAACCCTAAACCCTTACAGATCCCTTAAAAGGATCCCTTAAAAGGAACCCCCTAAACCCCTAAAAAGAAACCCTGAACCCCCACAGGTACCTGGGCCAGGTCTCTGTCTGCAGGCGGTACAAGATGTTGGAGAACCTCGGATCGAAGGGCTTTAAGAGGGACCCTTAATAGGGTGTAGGGTCTAGGGTTTAGGGTTTAGGGTTTTAGGGTTTAGGGTTTAGGGTTTTAGGGTTTAGGGTTTAGGGTTTAGGGTTTAGGGTTTAGGGGTTTTAGGGTTTAGGGGTTTAGGGGTTTGTAGGTTATTGGGGGTTAATATGGAGACTGCCTGGCGAAAAAAGGTGTATATAAGGACTATACATTGGTTATTTAAGGTCATGGGATTAAGGGTCCCTATTAGGGGTCCCTCCTAAAGTCCTTAGCTCGGAGGCGAGCGGAGTTTCCCCACTAAGCTGGGGGCTTCCAAGGCTTGAAGGTTTAGGGTTTGGGGTTTAGGGTTTAGTTTGGGGCTTAAGGTGTAGAGTTTAGGGTTTAGGGTTTAGAGTTAAGTTTAGGGTTCAGGGTTCAGGGTTTAGTTTAGGATTCAGGGTTTAGGGTTTAGGGTTTAGGGTTAAGTTTAGGGTTCAGTGTAGGGTTTAGGGTTTAGTTTAGAGTTCAGGGCTTCAGGGACGCAGCTTGGGGATTTAGGTTGTTGCATTATTGGAGGGCTCCAGTCCTTCCACCGGAACTCCCGAATCTGGGCTGCCCGATCTTCTGCAGGCTGAACAGGTTGACAAGGACGAGACCCGACATCCCTTAATTAAGGAAGGTACGTTAAATCTTGCTAGGGTTCCTATTATACCTTAAGATATATTCCATCATTAAGGGGTTTTGGAGTCTCTAGGAAGGACGAGACCGGAGATCGTGATCGAGACCTTCCCACAGGCCGCAAAAGCCCACAACTTTTGCGACTGCCGCCAAGGCGCTCTGAAGCGCCTTTGCATCCGAAGTAAACTACTTACACCCAGAGACTCCAAAACCCCCTTAATTAGAGCCGAAACACGGCCCTGCATGGAATCCAGAGCAGCGGCATGCGAGGCCGCTATGGTCACCAGTTTGTCCTTGACCTTCCACCCCAAACCCTAAACCCTAAACCCTAAACCCTAAACCGAGGAACGAGGGCTGACCAATCTAGCCGGCAAAGTCTCATTCCTCCTCCTCAAGTGCTTCAAGTCGGGAGGCCTCCAGGCTCAGAGTGTGATCGAAAAACTTGCTGGCGCTAAAGCCCAGACTGCGAAATCGCAATGTGAAAAGCATGAGCTCCAAGAGATAAACTTTGCAAAGCACTATTTCAAAACCAAAGAGGTTCTTGAAGTTTTGTGTTTGGAAAAACAAGGTGATTGTCACCTCCGGTGAAATTGCACATGGCCACTCGAATCATGGAGTGGCCTGGGCCGGCACTTCGCACGCATCTCCGCGCGCATCTTGAAGGCTTCCTGACCCGTCTCATCCATCCAGTCCGCCTTACCTAGGTCCAGCTGGTCCAGCCTCCAAGTCCAGATGTGCCCAGGCCATAAACTCTTTTACCCTAAACCCTAAACCCTGAACCCCTAAACCCCTAAACCCTAAACCCCTAACCCCTAAACCCTAAACCTCAAACCCTAAACCCCTTAATCCTAAACCCCTAA